ATGCTAAGTGAAATGAGTCAGAAAGAGAAGGACAGACATAGAAGGACTGCACTCAGCACTGTTCACAATAGCCAAAATCTGGAAACAACCCAAATTCCCTAGAACAGATGACTGGTTAAAAAAACTCTGGTACATCTACACAATGGAATACTATGCAGCTTTCAGGAGAGATGAAGTCATGAACTTTGCTTATAAATGGATAGACATGGAGAGTATCATGCTAAGTGAAATGAGTCAGAAAGAGAGGGACAGACATAGAAGGACTGCACTCATTTGTGGAGTATAAAACAACATAACATTAGGCTGACACCTAAGGACCATAGATACACGGGATAGACAGATTGCTCCACAGCTGGAAGCTGGCCTCATGAGCAAAGGGGAGAAGGCAGCTGGAATAGAGAAGGGATCACTAAGAAAAAGATGGCTGGAGGAATCGGTCGGGATGGGAGATGTGTGCAGAAAGTAGATAAAGAACCAAACGTGATAACCTCTCAGGGTCTGTATTGCAAACCTTAATGCCCAAAAGTAGAGAGAGATTATGGGGAATCATATGTGCCATGGAGGCAGAGGGAAGGTGGGAAAGGGGGGTTATACTGGGGTATTGGTGGTGGGGAATGTGCACTGGTGGAGGGATGGGTGTTAGATCATTGTGTGATTGTAATCCAAACATGTATGCTTACAACTATCTTACGGTGATTCAATAAAATTAATAATAATAATAAAAAAACTAGGGTCCTGGATTATTGTTTGCTGATTTCACCAAGTTAAGGAATGCCTATGTCAGCATGAAAGGCATGCTGTGATCTGGACTGCGGTCCAGTCACATGACAGAGGACAGCATATCTAATGGCTCAGATATGAAATCCGAGGCCAACCCAGTGATGTCTTCTTGTTTGCATCCCTCAGTCTACCTGAGTAGCTGGCAAATCAGGTGCTCAGGGTTTGGGGATGATTCATCTCTCCATAACAACTCTCCAGTCACACTTATAAGTCAATCATCCTGTCAGTCATGACCAAATTCTGGTCAGTCAGAACTTCACAGCAACCTCTAGTTCTTGGCGTTATCAAATACAACATAAAAAGCCAGAGATAGTACAGGAGATTAAGACACTTGTTCACTTGTTCTATATGTGAACACTAAGGCCAAATTTAGTTTGATTCCTCACAAGGCATATAGTCCCTAAGCTCTGGCAGGGGTCATTCCTGAGCTCAGAGACCAGAATATTCCCTGAGCATCATGGGCAGGGCCCAAGTCCCTCCTCTCCTAACCCAACCCCTCAAAAAAAAAGCCCCCAAAACTGTAGATTGTTTTCAAAGACTATTCTTTTTTGTTTGTTTTTAGTTCTTTGGGCTATACCTGGCAATGCTCAGGGGTTACTCCTGGCTCTTCACTCAGGAATCACTCCTGGTAGTGCTCAGGGGATCATATGGGATGCCAGAGATGGAACCCGTGTCTGCTGCATACAAGGCCAGTGCCTTACAGGTTATTCCATCACTCCGGCCCCTATCTTTTATTTTTATAAAACTGATGCAGCTTCACTACATAGATAGCAATAATAATACCTATCAAATATCAACTCTTTTATTTGAACTTTAAAAAAAATTGATTATTGTTGCAATGAGTGGGTGGTGCCCTCGGGTATGGTGCTCAGAAATGACAACCTGATGCTAGTCAAGGCCTGAACTCCTCATGCAGCTGCGAGCTTGCAGGAGCCTTCAGAAATAATGCCATTCAGCGCTCACACACAGTCTGGCTGGAGCACCCACTGGGGCTTGCCACGGCTTATACGTGCTCTCACCACGAGTTGCCTTTCCTGGCTCTGGCTATTGAAGATCTTTTCTCTGTGGTGCTTGTCAGATCCATACCACCATCTTCCAGTCTAGTGCATGCACACATCCCCAAATAAGTGCTGCTGGAAACTGCCCACAGCCTTGGGAATCTCAGACAGTAGAGTTTCCAAGATTACACTGGGCACAAGCAGGGGCCTTGGGGTCAGGTGGGAGGTGTCATGGCTCTGTTCTCACCCCATTAACTATTTGTCCAGGATCCTTGAACTTTATTCTTAGCAATTTACCAGGTGCCATTGTAGCTCATCCACAATGGTCACGTGCTCGTGAAGTGATAGAATGTCAGTGGCCAGCCAATGGGTGGACTGGAGAGTAACGGAAAAAGATGTACTATTATGAACTTTCTGGAATTAGTCCATCTGAAGCTTTTTATCATCACTGTGGAGAAAGAATGGCAATGAGAGAGAGAGAGAGAGAGAGAGAGAGAGAGAGAGAGAGAGAGAGAAAGTTTAATAGGGAACAGTAGCTAGGACTCATAGAAACTACCCTATAAACCAAAATTTACACTTCAGAATTGCACGGATCAGTGCAATAGCTAACACGAGAATACTAAAGTCAGTAATGGTTTGCATTTGCTGAGTGGGGACTATTCACTAGGCACTCTTTTAAGTACTGAAGACATATTAATTTTTTATTCTCACTTCAGTCCTGTGGGAGCAGGTCTATCCTGCCCCCATACTTAACAGAGGAAGCCACTTATTTAGAGACATTAGTGGCCTGGATCTCAGCCATTACTCTTACTGTATAATAGTGACTAGAAAATGACTGCATTTAAAGTTAGAATTTTAAATAATTATAAAGATGAGTTTTGAGAAAAAGACGTGATCATTCAATGATCTCTCTCAGATGTGGGATTTAAAGACACGCAGAAATGGGGCTGGAGAGAGAGCACAGTGGATAGGACTTGCTTTGCATCAGTTAGATTTCCAGCCCCATATATCCCCACGCTCCACCAGGAGTCATCCCTGAGCACTGTCAGGTATGTCCCTACCAAAAAAAAAAAAGAGAGAGAGACACACACACAGTAACACACAGTAAGAGTACAACAAATGGTCAAAGGCAACAGAACTAGGGAATTGGTCTACAGAAATGAGCTAATAGGAGTTGGGAGGAGGGGTGTAAGGGGAGGGGCCTATGAAATCTCGGTGGAGGGAAGAGGGTACCTCGTGATGGTGCTGGAATGATGTATGCATGAAACCACCACTAACAGTATTGTAAATCACGGCACCTCCGTAAAGAGGGAGAAAAGTGATTATATACTTGTGAAGGTATAACTGCATGAGATATTTAGGATCAAGGTATACAAAGCCAGGACAACAAAAGAAGTATTGTAGGCAAAAAAAGAAAGAAAATATCTCCTCTACCTATGCTTCTTAGAAGAATGCCATTTACATTGATCATCTGATCACTTTTTCCGTTAATCATCGATTTGCACAAATGGGTGCCAGTAAATCTCCATTCGTCCCTGTCACGTGCTAGTGTATGTAGATCAATGGCATCTGTTCATTCTAGGAACACAAAGAGCCTCAAACCGATCATTCAGGGTCTTGAAGAAGTCTGACCATCTTGTAGGTGGGCGGCTACGCGGTCTTTTGACGTCCTGTGGAATTCAGTTGGTAACAGCTCTAGTCCAGCGGTCATCTCCAAATCTCATTACGTGTCCAGCCCATCTGATTTTCGATGCCTTGGCAAATGAGACAGAGTCCCTGATTCTTGATCATCCATGGAGGTCTGAACTCCGGATTCTTTCTCTCATTTGAGTGAAACGTGATACTCTAAGCATAGCTCTTTCAATTCCTCTTTGGGAGACCCAAAATAGCGTTCTCATCCTGTTTTTGTAGGGTCCAGGTCTCTGAGGCGTATGTTAATGCAGGAAGAACAGTGGAATTGAAGAGATCTGCCTGGAGCTGGAGGTTCTTTGTCCTCTTAGCTATTTCTTCAACATTCTTGAAGGCATTCCATGCCACTCTATTCCTCCTGCGTAACTCAGGTGCCAGGTCATTCCTCATGTTGACTTCTCAACCTAGGTACACATAACTGTTGCATTCAGAGATGGTCGTTCCGTTGAGAGCAAATGGAATGTCAGGAATGAGATTGTTTCTCATAAACATTGTCTTCGTGAGATTCAGCTGTAGTCCGACCTTTCCACACTTATGGTCAAAGTCGACCAGCATTTGTGCTGCTTGGCTAATGTTTGGTGTTATTAGAACGATGTCATCAGCAAAGTGGAGGTGGTGTAGTGGCCGACCGTCTATCTTCACTCCCATTCCTTCCCATTCCAGTCGTCGCATGATGTTCTCGAGGGTGGCACTGAAGAGTTTCGGTGAAATGGTATTGATTTACATTACATTACATTTTAAAAGACCAAATAAATGCCTAGTAATCAACTCGAAAAAGAATATCAGATTTACATGTGGCAAACCCTAGTGATCCAACATATAAATGGATAAATTTGTGGCTTATATACACAATAAAATACTACTCGGCTATAAGAAAAAAAAATCAACTCTTGCTTTTTGCTACAACATGAATGGAATAGGTGGGAGGGGAGGAGGTCATGCTAAGCAAAATAAGAGGAAGAGAGGCATGCAGTGATTGATCAACTCAGATGGTCTATAGAGAAAGACAACAAGCGAATGGGCACTGGCCACTGAAAAGAAACCCTTAAACTGTGACCTCAGAATTGAGACTATCAAAGGATAGAGAACAGAGAACAGTCTCATAGACAGTGGTGGGAGAGTATTGGCTTTTTAGTGGTGGTTTTGTGGTGATAACATTGCACCCCTAAAACTATAAAAATTCTTACTTATAGAACATTAACATCAGATTATTAAAAATATGTATTTTTTTGTTTTTGTTTTTGGGCCACACCCAGTGATGCTCAGGGGTTACTCCTGGCTCTGCACTCAAGAATTATTCCTGGTGGTACTTGGAGACCATATGAGATGCCAGGACCGAAGGAACTTGAGCTGGCTGTGTGCAAGGCAAGTGCTTTACCCACTGTACTATCACCCCAAAACAAAATATTTTAAAATAATTTTTTATGTAATTATAATACTGTGATTTACGAAGTTATTGATAAATGCATTTTAGGCATATTTCAACACCAATCCCATCACCAGTGTCCACTTCCCTTCACCAGTGCTCCCATTAAACATCTGGAATGCTCCACAAATTTGCATATTGTCCTTGTGCAGGGGCCATGCCAATTTTCTCTCTGTGGTTCCAATTTTATTACATGTGCTTCTGACGTGAGCATGAATTAAAAATATTTTTAAAATTTCAAGAGGCTGGAGAGATAGTACAGGGGTTGAGTCACTGCCTTGCATGCAACTGACCTGAGTTTAATCCCCAATATTTTATATGGTCCTTAGCACTTTATATGGTCCTCTTACCCAACCTGGCGTGGTTCCTGGGCACAGAGCCAGGAATAAGCCCTGCCTGGCTGTGATCCAAAAACGAAAATAAATAAATATACAAAATCAATAAATACTTCTCACTTCTTATTGGAAAATAATATAGTTAACATGAAAACTATTTGGAGGGGAGGGGGCAGATCAATAGAATAGCAAGTAGGGTATTTTGTGTTGCATGTGGGCTTGATCTCTGCCACTACTTATGGTCTCCTGAGCCCACCAGGAGTGATCCTTGAGCACAGAGCCAGTACTAAGTCCTGAGCACCACCAGGTCGGACCCAAAACCAAACCCAAAAAAACTGTCTTTTTTTTCTCCCTGCTCTATGTAACAATTTAACAACTAATTTGTACTTCTTTCCTTAATGCTGTATTTCATTTCTTTCCATGAAAATGTTCTCCTATTAGTTTAAGTCTTCAATTAATAATATGCTTTACTGAAGGCTTAATTACATATACTTTAGTCTTTTGGCGGGAATGGGGGAAGATGGGAGCCACATCTGGCAATACTCAGTGGTAACTCCTGGCTCTAAAATTGGGAATTACTCCTGGCGATGATCAGGGGACCATAGTTGGCTGCATAAAAGACATATGCCTTATCCATTGGACTATCAACCCAGCCTTACTTTATTCTTTATAAAAAAAATACAAGAATTATTTCAGCTCAGTAGCAGAATGAAGAGAACCAGCCCAGCACAGAAATGAGCCCACTTAGAGTCTCACCAGAACAAAGCTGTGTCCATCTGAGTGTGCAGCCATGAGTCACTTCACACCATCCCACAACAGGAAAGACATGGTTAATGTCTCACTTTATGAGGAAGAAAGAGGCCCAGAGATGGGATAAGTTCACACAGAGAACAAATCTGACATGAAATCCAGGGGCCCCCAATTCTCCAATCCACACCCATTTTAGGGACAATTTTCTAGATTTGTTAATAAACAACAACCATCTTCCTACCTTCTGGTGATTTATCAGTGAGCAGGGAAATGATCTGAAGTTGGACTGAGATAAGATAGAGCTTTGGAGGGCTGGATAGATAGTACAACAGGTAGAGAGTTTGCTTCCAAAGAGGCCAAACTGGGTTTGATCCCTGGCACCTTATATGGTTTCCTGAGCACTCCTAGAACAGTAATCCCTGAGCACTGCCCATTATGACCTACAAAACACACACACACACACACACACACACACACACACATATATATATAGGCTGGAGTGATAGCATAGCACAGCAGTAGGGTGTTTGCCTTGTGCGCAGCCGGCCCGGTCGAGCCAGGTTCGATTCCTCCACCCATCTCAGAGATTCCAGCAAGCTACCGAGAGTATTTCGCCCACATGGCAAGGCCTGGCAAGCTACCCGTGACGTATTCAGTATGCCAAACACAGTAACAAGTCTCAAAATGGAGACGTTATCGGGCCCACTCGAGCAAATCAATGAACAACAGGAGGACAGTGACAGTTATATATATATATATATATATATATATATATATATATATAAATATATATATATATATGAGAAAAAGATTCTCAACCAGACTTAGAAAATGAAATAGGCAGAATTGCCTTGATTTTAGTCCTTAGGATGGATAGGCATCATGAAAATTAGAGAGGAATGGTATATTTTCCTCACACTGTGAGGAACGTATAAAGTACCTCTGTTTCACAGGTAAGGGAACTAAACTTTAAACAGGTTGATTTAGCAGGTGGCAGAATCCTGTAGGACACAGGAGTTGTGGCCCGGACCCATCAAGACCACACCATCATGACCACGTGAATCACTAGAGCCTGAACAGAAGTGGTCTGATAAGCATGTGCCAGTGCCAGCTGCCCTTTCCATGCATGGCTTCCCATGTTTCCACTTTTTCTTTCTTTCTCTCCTTCCTTCCTTCCTTCCTTCCTTCCTTCCTTCCTTCCTTCCTTCCTTCCTTCCTTCCTTCCTCTTTCTTTCTCTTTCTTTCTTCCTTTCTGTATTAATTTTCTTTTGTTTTTGAGCCACACCCAGTGATGCTTAGGGCTTCTCCTGGCTCTGCTTCAGGGATCACTCCTGGTGGGGCTTGGGCGACTATATTGGGGTACCGGGGAATCAAACAGCACCTTCCCCACTGAGCTATCTCTCTGGTCCCTTTCCCTCTCATTATCCGTGGCTCAAAAACCAGGGATACGGCCAGTGGTAGAGCACTCTCACTGCATAGGTAAGGTCCTTGGTTTGATCCCTGCACCACATAAAAATTTAAAAGCACCAGGTACACAGGTGAAGGGTATGGTGTAGGAATATGTACACAAGAAACCATCATTAATAATATGGTAAGTCACAGAATGTCAATAACATTTTTTAAAAATAAAATAGCTTACCAGTGGGTCTGTGTGTGACCTCTTATTTCTTGGAAGTCTTCACATTGAGATGGGAAACCCCATAAGGCCCATGGGAGTTGCACACTCAGTTGCTTCTTCCATGATTTTTCTCCCTTAATTCCAAAGGACCTGAGACAGTTCAAGTATTTTTTATTTTCTGGTCACTTTTATCGGTTTTTTTGGGCCACACCCAGTGGTGCTCAGGGCTGACTTGGTGCTCAGGGATCACCCGTGGTGAGGCTCGGGGAACCACATGGGGTGCCGGGAATTGACCCTGGTGGCTTTGTGCAAGGCAAACATTCGACCTTCTGTACTATCTCTCCAGTCCCTTAGATTTTTGTTGTTGCTGCTGTTTATTTGTTTTTATGAGTCATGCCCAGCAGTGCTTGGGAGACATGCAGTGTTGGGGACTGAACTCGGGGCCTTGTGTGTGCACATGCACAAACAAGCACCTCAGACAGCAGGGCTGCTTGGCACAAAGAATTGATGCTTGGTGCATATGGAACCTGGACATTTGAATTCATGGCCATACACTTGCAGATATTCTAAGCTCCTGTGCTTTTCCTCCAAGCCCCAAAATTGGACTTTTTTCTTTTTTTAATCTCGCCCGCACGGCAGAGCCTGGCAAGCTCCCCGTGACGTTTTTGATATGCCAAACACAGTAACAACAAAGTCTCCAATGGAGACGTTACTGGGCCCGCTCGAGCAAATCGATGATCAATGGGAGGGCCTTTACTTTACTACATTGTTGGGGATTGAACCCAGGGCCTCACATATACAAGGCAAGTATTCTACTATCTAACCATATTCATGGCCTCTATTTCACTGGTCTTTTCGGGGGGCAGGGGAAGTGCTGGGGCCATCCAGCAGTCTTAGGAACAACTCCTGACTCTGTGCTCAGGGATCACTCCTGGCAGTCACTCAGGAAACCATTTTTGATGCTGGGGACCAAAATAGGGTCAAGGCCAAAGCAGCTGCATGCAAGGTAAATGCCCTATACCTGTACTATCATCTCTCTAGTCCTTATTTTTGTTTTTTAGTGGATTACATTTATATCATGCATTAAGTCATTTGTCATGAGGTAGACAAGTTCCATTTGTGACATCGTCAGATCAGGGATGGCATGTCACTTTCACAATTAAAACCCTATCGCTTTTTCTTTGAGGGGTGGTTCTCTGACTCCCGGAAAGAAATTCAGATTCTCCAAAATTCATACATCAACACTCCCAGACTCATACATCAGCATCTCTGGACTCAAGAACCTTTGTGATAAATTCCTCAAACTTCTGATAGATTCTGAGACTGGGATTTTAGTTTTGGTCTATATATATATTTTTGATTGCTTGAAGAAAGTCTGACTTTATTTCCCTCTCCTTCATGGCATCCCCGTGGTCTTTCCCAGTGGACAGGATTCAGTTCCTCCCTTTCCCGTGTCCTAGATTCATGACCTTGGACAAGATATTTGGGTTTGTTTGTACCTGGAGGGATTCTCCCAAGCAGAGGAACTCGGCCAATCAGGACAGTGGTCAGTGCTAGGGCCAAGGATGCAATGCTACTGCTGCGGTGTGGACTTGCAGTGCCGGGGACCTTCAGGGACACCACCAGAAGTACTTGGGAGGCCATGCAGTGCCGGGGATGGCTTGGACAAATGCTAGGCATGAGTTTTAGCCCTGGTAGTGTCTTCACCCAAGATACTTGGCTTTTGCTCTCTCCACTTACTCTGGAGATAACAGAATTTATCTCGTGTTTGAAGGAATCCTGCTAAGGCATCTAAGTCAGACTTGCCCTGCTGGTGTACCAGTGTCTGCAGCATGAATGCACCCACCTACACTCCATGAGACATCTGTATTACTAGTTATGAGTTCATTCTGCAAATGAATGATGAGAAGCCTGATGAGGAAATGCTACAAAGGCTGGTGAGAGACTCCAAGATCCCTCTATTTTTTTTTTAAACCACACCCAGCACCAGCAATGCTTATTCCTGGCTCTACATTCAGAGATCACTCCTAGAGGGTCCTGGGGAGACTGCATATGGTGCTGGTGAACTAACCTGGGTTGACTACATGCAAAGCAAGCACCCTATCCACTATACTACTGCCCTACCCCTTACCCCTTGCTGCTCCTTTTCTAGGGTGCACTGCATGCAGACCACTTATAAATCTGGGTAAGAATGTGAAGAGCACCAGTTTGGGACAGTATGCCTCATGGTCTTGCGTTTTCTGTTTCAGAACTAAAACTCATTTCAAGTCTCTCTAGTCCAAGCATTGGGCTCGCTGCATTCAGGGCTGCTCTACTACCAGGGAGTTTAAGTACAGAGTTAGAGGTGACTGACTGAGCTCAGCAATCCCCCAATGCACTGCTGGGAAATGCCGACCCTGGGCTGCATGAATATCTGGATTTTAATTCATGTTTTAGTGGTAAGGAGGCTTGAATGTTTTTCCTGCTAGAAGCGTTAAGTGCCTTGTGCAGAAAGACCCCAGGCTTAGCTGA